AATGACAATGTGAGCTGCAGGGATTCAGATGTACTATATACCACCTACCCTAAAAAAAGGTCAAGAGTGACCTTTGACCCTTTAACCTTGTCCGCAAAAATGACATCAGGTATGGAATTCAATATTATCATACTATGGTGTAAATTATAATAAACTAAATCTGGTAAGGGGCTCACATGAAATTTTGTATGCAAGCTTTAACTTTGAAAGTGGTCAAGTGCACCCTTTTACTCTACGTTTAGCCTTGACCCATGACAACCGAATTCTGAGATCAGGTGCAGAACTTGATGTTTCTGTACTATGGTGTAAATATACCATTCAAAAACTAAATTTGTGGGGTTCACAATAGGGCTGTCACAAAAAATTGGAAAACAGGTATATCACAATACACAGGTATATCGTATCGTACCACAAAATAGAGATGAAATAATGCTGTATCTCAATATTTTTTAAAAGCATATTTTTATGTATCTGCTTGGTGTTTTAACTTTGCAAATTACTACAAATTCTAGCAGATATGCCAATAAGCATAAAGCAGGCTTTTAATAGTTCAAATTTTGTAATCGTTGGTTTGTTTGACAAAAATCTTAAATCTATGTAATCCATATTATATATGATTAAGTTTGATAACATTCTGACAACAACTTATTATAAAATTGAGCACATCCTTACTATGACAATATATCGGGATATGTATTGCAATATATTCATCTGTATTACAAGATATTGTGATACACTCTTCAGACTTGGGGTATTGTGACACCCCTAGTTCACAAGATATCTCTTACACAAACTATTTCATAATATGTCAAGTGTAACCTTTGACCTTTCGACCTTTTAGCTTTTACCAACGACCAACAAAATCTAGTTCAGAGCATAACTCAATGCTATCAAACCATGATGTAAAAAGGAACTAAATCTGTTGACAGGTTCTTAAGATATCTTCACTTGTAAAAACATTTCACAACAATTGCACTGATCACCAACACACTGACAAAGCAATTACTGTTATACTAGTCACAAATGAATTAACCCCCCCCCCCCCCCC